CTTATAACCATTTCTATGGAACTGCCTAACTTGTTTGTTGTAATGAGGAGTCTTGTTATTGTACAATACATGAAATTTGTTTTTTTTTAAGGCAATTCTCTATTAATCAGAGATCTTTCTGTGGTATCAGGTTTATATAGTGATATAGCCAATATAAAGTCTCAGTGCTTTATCAGGCAATCATTTAATTGTGATGCAGTTCAAATTAATAGAACATTTCTATATTAGGTAAAAATCTTTATTTCTTTGATGTTCACCGATTGGTCCTGGTTCTCAAATCTTGGAACATGAAATAAGTTATTTGTTTTCCAAGCATTGGGAAAGTCATTCCCTATAGTCTGAACACGAACTTCTAGTACAACAGAATTAAGTCAACTTTCTTTCATTAGCGCCATATTACACTGTGTTCATGTTAAGGTGATGGACAGCTAAAGCTCCACGGACTTTACCTCATGAACCAATATCAATCCTGGTCTCATATTAAAATTTAAATCTTGATGCAGAATGACTACTTGTTGCATTTCACCTGACTTGTTCTTTTTTTATATATTTTATTTATTTATTTATTTATTTAGGCTGCGCCACAGCGGCCTCTTCATTGCAGCATGCGGGCTTCTCAGTTTCGGCATGCATGTGGGAGCTAGATCCCTGACCAGGGATCAAACCTGGGCCACCTGCATTGGGAGTGCGGAGTCTTACCCACTGGACTACCAGGGAAGTTCCTCACCTGACTTGTTCTGAACAAAAGTCTATTGAGATCTTTAAACACGTCTCATTTCTGCCTTTCAATATCCTGGTCATTTCTTTTGTCTTCAGTAGATAGAAGCGTGCCTTCTGTGTCTTCATCCTAATTAGTAATATGAATGTAGTCAGGAACTGTTTTTGTCTATAAGTGAAAGAGACTAACAAATCAATGACTTACATCAGGTGGGAGTTAAGTTCTCTTTCACATAACAACAAAAACAAAAGCATGGAGACAGGCGGTGCAGAGCTGATGGCAATTCCATAATGGTGTCCATGTCCCAGGAGCTTTCTTTCTGCTCCTTCATCCATAAGGTCTTGCTTCCATCCTCAGAGTCACCTCATGGTAGAAAATGTTCACTACAGCTCCAGCTATGATGTCTCAGTCAGGAAGAGACGGGGGGAGCAAAAAGCATGCAAGGTAGATCAGCTCCACTTTTTAACTCTCCCCAAAGCATCAGTCATAAAATCTTGTTTTGACAAGAAGGTTGTCACACACTGCTAACTACTTGGAAATGTGCTTTTTTTTTTTTTTTTTAAGGTGGGCACATCGCCACCCCCAGCAAAATCAGAATTCTTTTAGGTGGAGAGGAATAATATTGGGTAGATTAAACATGGAAGAGGCAAGAGGAACACAAAGATTTTTTTCCCCAGAAACACCATACTCCTCAGTACCAGGGACCTAAGCTGTGGCAATACAAGGATGTGAAGAGATGAATGAGACAAGATTCTCGACCTTGGTCACGGTCAGTAGTTTTAATATCATCATTAAATTAATGTGATTAGGAGCAATCTTCTCTAAGAAGACTGGCTTATCAGGTTTGCTAATCTTCTACAGAAAGGTCTCAAGTTACTGTACTTACTCTCCTTTGAGATCAATGCTTTTTAATGGAAGGCACTTGGCTAACCTAGTGAGTCATACTTTTAGTAACAGGGGATTGATGATCATCAATTTAGTTAATGACATTTTTATAACAAGAATGTGGAAATTGTACTGCTTAATATTTGTCTCCTCTGCCCCAGTCCTCTCCCTGAGGGCTAGGACTCTGGAGTCCACTTCTTCAACTTCCTGTTGCTCTGCACAGACAAGCAGAGCCTGCTGCAGTTCTATACCACAGCCATTCTGCCTATCTCCACTCTGACAGGAGACATTAATGTCTGAGAGAAACTTTAAGATAAAAATAAGTTAGGGCTTCCCTGGTGGCGCAGTGGTTGAGAGTCGGCCTGCCGATGCAGGGGACACGGGTTCGTGCCCCGGTCCGGGAAGATCCCACATGCCGCGGAGTGGCTGGGCCCGTGAGCCATGGCCGCTGAGCCTGCGCGTCCGGAGCTTGTGCTCCGCGGCGGGAGGGGCCACAGCAGTGAGAGGCCCGCGTACCGCAAAAAAAAAAAAAAAGTTAAAGATAAAAAAGATAAAACAAGATTTAAAAAACTACGTATATCACTTTTGTCTGGACAACATTTTTTCTTTTTTCTTTTAATAGAAAATTAAATCTCCATAGGTGGTGAAGGATCCGATACTTCACCTGTAAGTAGACGGGAATGGTGGCTTATTTGGGTAACATCCAGAGCTCATTTCCCATTGCTTTCAGACAGAATTTATGGGTACAATTATAGAATTTTAAAAGATCATCTACATCTTCTCAGAATAGGAAGGCTGTTTGTTAAACTCTCTGGCACAGTGGAAACAAGATAGGTCTCTGGAAAATTCTCAGAACTCGCCACAATCACCGATGTCTTTTACAGCTGAAAGAAGATTTGCTTTGTGAGAAAAGACCCAATTTTATATTAAAGAGCTGCTGGCAGGTCTCTCCCAGAATGCCTCCCTTGGGCTTTTGTCATTAAAATTCAATTGAACGCTGACATTTTTTACCTCCACGTGCCCCATCACTGCTTTCCTTCCTCACCAGTTTTTCACAGAGCTGCAAAATGCCCTCTCGTTTGTGCTGTGTCATACTAAATATACAGGCAAAATAAAATGTAAACTAGGAATACACTGGCATCAATGTTTAAGGCAAGTGTTACATGCATGTGATGAGATGCGAGCTAGAAAGAGATGGGGCACTTTGGGGTTTTCAATTGCTTTATTTTATTTATTAAAAATTTAAGGACTTCCCTGGCGGTCCAGTGGTTAAGACTCTGCGCTTCCACTGCAGGGGTCGCGGGTTCGATCCCTGGCCGGGGAAGAACCCGCATGCCACGCAGCCAAAAATTAAAAATGTTTAAGGCATCTTTGGGAAATATAGAGATTTTTTTTTAATTAAAAACAAAAGTACATGTGAAACAATGAAAAGATTTATAAAGAAAAATTTCATCTCTCCTTCTCTTATTGTAACCAGTGTTGACATCCTTTCCCGTCTTTCCTCCTATTGACACAAACATTCTACACGTACACACATGTAAAAGTTAGGATGCTTGAAGCTTAAGAAGGAAAGGCTAATACAGGAGAAGAGTCATACCTCTTTTTTCTATTATACAGGAAAGAAATTAATGAAGAACATGATTTTATTAGGACTCTTTTAGTTGCAAGGCCCAGAAACCCAATTTAAACCAGTTTAAACAAAAATGGGGAATTTATCTTCGATGTAACTAAACTGCAGAAAGGGTAGGGATGGAGCCAGTGTCAGGGATAGCAGGATCAAAGAATTCAAACATCCATTCCCTGATGTCCATTCCAGTTCTGTGCACTGATCTATGTTCTAGATTCTATGCCATGATCAGGGCCTCCAAAACCTTAAACCTCTTTAACCACCTATTACTGTAGAAAAAAATATATGTTCCTTTAAGTCCTCCCTGGTTACCTGAATTTGTGAAGGCTAGCTTTTGTGAAAACACAAACATGTTTTCATGTCACAAGGTGAAGTACAATGTATACAAGTACCTGAGTCCAGCAGTGACATGTGGTGTAAACTGGAGGAGGGGGACCACAGAGTTCACATCCTCTCTGCTGTCCAGACAGTCTTTAAAACAGATTATGACCGCTGTTGGCGGCATGGTCTGGAGGCTACATAATGACACAAATAACCTTCGTTATGCATGAACTGTAGTGAGACATTTTATGTTAAAGAGGGCAGGCTGTGAAAGACATGACATAATTTTAGTTAAAATTACATTTTTATGAGCTTACATTTTGTTTAAAAAATCCCAGCAGAGAAGAATGATTTCTGAGCTATCTTTACCAGGCAGGGTTGCAAATCCTATTCTAAAATTGTCAGAACAAGTTTTATTTCACAGAACAATCATGCCCAGTGCAGCCAAGTAACGATATCAATGACAGTCAAGTAACACCGCAAAACCACTTCATTTTTATTCTGGAGAAATGCACATATGTTAGAGTATTAAATCCAAGGAGAATATATCTGTGATTTTTTTTTAAATAGGAAAGTAAAAGAAAGCCATAGTTTTCAAATCAAGTGATAATAAACATATCTTTTTCTTCTTTTTACATTTTTTGAACCAATGCAACAGCATAGTACGCATTTTACTATCTATTCTAGAAGGAGATGTACTAGCAAATCGTAGGCAAACTATGACATGGTGTATAGTACATTGTGAATTCCTGATTGTAAAAAGGTCCAACGTATGGAAATTTACAAAGTATTTCATTGTTCTGTGGTTAAAGATAAGTGTTCAGTAACTATCAGGTAGGCATATTCTTTTTCTGGGTCTTCCCCTTGCTCCCTACCAATGTGCTTCTCTCTGTGGGACCTGCCTTCCCTCATGACTCTAGAATGACCCTTGCAAATGTCTGCTAGTTCAGGCTTAAGTGGAATTATCTCCCAGTAACATTTGTATTTAAGCTGGAGGCCAGTAAATGATGGCTTTCTTCCCTTTCCCCTAGTCCACTTATATCCAGGGACACCTAAACTGCAAAGCGTCCTGGGCTCTGTGGAGTTTTCCCCAGACTGAACTCCCTCACTGAATGTGCTTCTGTGTGCCCCTGGTTAGCTGCTACCCCCACCCTCATCACAGGCTTTCTCTACAAAGTTTGAGTAGGGCTGAGTGAGTGGAGCGTTGGCTGCCATTTGGAACGATTGCCAGTGCCTCAATTGTTGTTTGGAGGCCACCACATTCGAAAGAAGTGTCACTTTTTATATTTTCCAGTTGATAGATCTAAGCACTTAGAAGAATGCTGTTAGTTGGCTTTCTTCAGACTACGTTGCAATTAACCATTCAAACACAACTCATGTAGGGTTCATGTGGATGAACCCTACCACCAAACAATGAGACCTCTGTCTAGTATATACAACTGAGCACATACTGAAAAATTTAAAAATTCCTCCCAAGTGACATTAAGGCTGACACCCTTCATTTTCCAAGGAAGCCTATGTCTACTTCAGAGGGATGAGGGTTTGCTTTAAGCCTCTTGTGTGCCACAGAGTACCTTTGTTTCCCCTCCCTGGGCTGTGCTCATGGCTGAGTCTAAATGGTGCTTCTGGAGCAAGGGAGGGGCCCCCATCTCACCATATTTAACATATCTGAGGTTATGGCACTCACACATTGAGGACTTGAGTTTTTTAGAGTATTTTTGGAGACAGCACTTAATAAAACACTTGAGGACCAAAAAACTCAGTTCAGTGAAATTCAACACAATGCACAGGCATGAGGTAATGACCAAGAAGAGGATGAAGATCGTTTTTTCCGTGGGTTTGGAGACGAAGCAGTCCACAGTGTTGGGACAAGGCTTCAAATCACACTTCATAAAGTAGGGAACACTAAAGCCACCATAGAGCTTGTAAAATAAAACCAGGAAGCCAATTTCAAAACCAGTTTTAACAATGAGGCTGATAAGGTAAGTGTACCACAGGCCCCCATCCATGGTGCCTGTGCTGACATAGAGTTTCTTCCTGTGCCTTTTCTCTCTACCCTCACGATAGGCTACATGTAGAACCACCAGAAGTGAAGGCGTGGAGACTACGACCAGTTGTAAGGCCCAAAGTCTGACCTGGGAGATGGGGAAGAAGTAGTCAAAACACACATTTTCACAACCAGGCTGTCTAACGTTGCACTCAAACTCTTTCTGCTCATCTTTCCATACATGCTCTGCCGCCACCATGTAGACCAGCAAACGGAAGATGAACGTGACCGCCAGCCAGATCCGCCCGATCCCAGTGGAGTATTTATTTACTCCACTCAGGAGGTCTCTGAGGAACGTCCAACTCATGACTTAGATTCCAAAGAAGGCAATATTCTGCAAAAAAAAAACAGTTTCATCATGATTCATTTACTTCTATTCCATTGATCATTTCTACTGTCTTACTTGTAGATTATGGAATTATGGAAGATAAACTTGACTTTTTGCATTATTACAACCCTGGATGTTCAGGGCTCTCTAAGAATCCCATAGGATATGCTTGCTTTCATACAAGGAGATGACACAGCTGGTCCACAGGACGTAAATGAGCCCATGCCCAGTTTAACTTGGAATTTGGTTTGTCATCCCACACACACTAGCCCATTCCCAGACAAATCCTTCCACTTTATTGCTTCTCGCTAAGGATGGTTGGGCTCTATGGCTGATCTAGAAAGAATTAGATATGAATCCCAAGGTGACCTTGGTACCTTGAGATATCCCTCACATGCCAGCTTCTCTTTTTTTTTAATGTTCTTTTTTTATTGAAGTATAGTAGATTTACAATATTGTGTTAGTTTCAGGTGTACAGCAAAGTGATTCCTATATATATTTATTTCAGGTTATTTTCCATTATAGGTTATTACAAGATACTGACTATAGTTCCCTGTGTTCTACAGTAAATCCTTGTTGCTAATCTATTTTATATATGGTTGAGTGTGTCTGTTAATCTCAAACCCTTAATTTATCTCTTCCCACCCTTTTCCTTTTTGGTAACCATAAGTTTGTTTTCTCTGTCTGTGAGTCTATTTCTGTGTATTAATTTTTGGACTGCACACATTGAAGTTGTAGTCTCTACTCACTTTCTCTAATTTGTCAGTGCCCGTCCCTAATCCCTAAAGGTTATTCCCTGTCCCTACCGCCTCCTGTGTCCCGTATCTCATCCCAGCTGCTTGCCTACAATTTGATAATGAGAAGTGAGGCTCTCCACTATGAACTCCCTCAAACTCATGCTCCCTCATCCCTCCAGATCTACTTACATCGGTGCCCAACTTACCTTCTTTACCCAGTTTGGAGGGAGAGGGTTGGTCTCTTCTCACCTCAAAATGATCATGATCATTCCAGCCCTAATCCCATTCTTGATCTACCCATTTCCCCTGCTCTGAATTCTGTATCTTCACCCTCCACTGCCCCCTTCCTCTCAGTGTATAAACGTGCTGAAGTGTTGTCCATTTTTAGTGGGGGAATCTTCACAGCTTCTCTTTCTGACAACCTCTATCTTTATCCCTTATTTCTACTTCCTCAACTATTATTTACTCATCAACTCACTGAGTCTAGTTTTTCTTCTCAGCATTGCACTTAACTTCAACTACCTCTCAATTACCAAGTGTTCTGGACGCTTCAAATCTCCTTTAATTTTCCTGTGGTGTTTGATACTGTTGCCTGCACTTGTGTTTTTGAAACTCTTTCAGCCTTGATTTCCATACCACTCTCCCCGCTCTTTCTGTTACTCTGATCCTCTTGATTGTACCATCTTGGTTGTCTTTGCCCAGCCCTGAACAGCTCTGTCCTCTGCTCTTTTCTCCCTCCATATGCCCTCCCTGCAAAACCTCATGCATTCCTACAGATTCAACTACTGCTTTCAGGTTCTCGTTTCTCAAATCTTAGGCTCCTCCCCAGACTTCCAGATCTCACTGCCTCCTGGCTATTATCTAAATATCCTACAGGCATCTCAAACTTGATATGTCTGTAGTTCAATGTATTATTTGCTCTGCCCTTTGATTTCCTTATGTGGTTAAACAGCATCACTAACGCCCAAGCACCAGGTCAGAAATCTCATATTCATCCTAGATGCCTCTCTCACGACCCTTTTAAAATTGCTCACCAAGTTCTTCTGATTCCTCCTAAATATCTCTCAAATTCACTTCCAAGTCACTGCTGAGCTCTCTCTCACCCATACAGCCCTCCCACTGCTTTCTACGGTCTCAGCATCTCCTCCGTTCCCCTCCTAGTACACCCTCAATGCTGCTCAGTTCTCTTGCGCCCCTCTCCGTCTCTTTTGCTCGTTACCCTACAAAAGTGGATAGGAAGCTAGGGAGCCTTCTTTTCCAACTCAGCGACACTGTCTTTCTTGCACTCTTGGCTTCCATCTTGTCATATAACTGAACTCCATGGGCTGGGCAGTGATTTTTGTTTCTTTCTTTCTTTTTTTTTTTTTGCTGTACGCAGGCCTCTCACTGCCGTGGCCTCTCCCGTTGCGGAGCACAGGCTCCGGACGCGCAGGCTCAGCGGCCATGGCTCACGGGCCCAGCCGCTCCGCGGCATGTGGGATCTTCCCGGACCGGGGCACGAACCCGTGTCCCCTGCATCGGCAGGCGGACTCTCAACCACTGCGCCACTAGGGAAGCCCCTGATTTTTGTTTCTTTTTGTTTCTTTTTGTTTCTTTTGTTTCTTTTTTGTTTCTTGAGCCTACAGTGTGCTCAGCCTTCTCTGTTTAGTGAAGAACCTAGGGGCAGGTTCTCTTTTGAGTTGGTCTCTCACAACCAGCCTGGAAAGTGGGGTTTTTGTTGGTTTGTTTATGGTGGCGGTTGTGTTTTTCTTTCAGATGAGAAAGCAGACTCTGAAAAATAACGCCACTTCCCAAGGTCACAAAATAAGAGGCAAAGCAGGGTTCAAATCCAATTTTCGTTACTCTAAAACAGAGTTTCTCAACAGTGGCACCATTGACATTTTGGGCTGGATAATTCTTTGTTCCAGCAGCTGTCCTGTGCATTGTAGGCTGTTTAGCAGCATCCCTGGCTTCTCCTAGCTAGATGTCAGTAGCACCACCTCCCGCCCTATTTGTGGCAACCAGAAATGTCTCCGGACAATTCCAAATGTACACTGGGAAGATGTAGCAAAATCTCTCCAGTTGAAACCATTGCTCTTAACTCTCTAGTACAATCAGAAGATGTGGACTGGAGCTCCAGGTCTGCCGCTAAGATACTTCATGATTTCTCAGGTGAAAACCTTGCCATTTCAGGTCCTATCTCCTATTACAAAGATGGATTACATCTTGCCTTCTCTATAGACTCCGCCAGAGGAGCATCATGGAAATGATGATGTGAGGGGAGCCAGAAGGTAAAGAAAATGGGGATATTGTGATAGTAGCGTTCCTGCCAGAGCTCGTCACATGATCTCTTCCAGAGGGAACATTATGTAACAAGCCCACATGCTAGAACCCTGACATGTATGAAGGTTAACAGGTATTTTCAGAGACAACAAAGACACTTGTACACAATGCCCTATTCAGCAGGGAATAAATACTTCAATGTCCTTGGTTTTCAGAACACAAACAAAATTGTATTAAATAAAAAGGATTCTCATATCCACCTGAAAGGTTAACATCTCCATGAATTATTAAAACAAAGCCCCAAAGATTAAAAAGGGGACAAAAGGGTCTTATGTTTTCCTATGACATGTGTCATTGGGCATTTGTCTGTATTATTCAGGAGGATATTTATGTAATGTTGCAAAATATTTAAAAGTACCCTGTTGGACATTTCAGAGAATGGATAAAGGTAAGAGATTTTCTTTTTTTCAAAAAGAAAATTAGTAAGAAAGTGACTGGTGTTTGAATAGGATCAGAAGACGCCATCAAATGTGTCAGGACTATGAATTTCACCTGACTAATGTCCATCCTATTTTGAAGTTCTCTGCTGATGGAAAGGCAATGGCTTTCCTCAGGAGGGAGGGGTGTTCTAATATGAGTCCACTTTTACCAGGGGTGGTTTACCATAGCGGATAAGAGCCTGAACACAGTGTTGGACTCCTTGGGTTCAAGTCCAAGTTCATCTGTGATAATAATAGTACCTACCTCATGGGGCTCAAAACAGAGACTGACACACAGTAGGTGCTCAGTAAGCATTATCATTATAATTTTTAGTTTTTCCATTAAAAACCTTTTCTTGGTGTCAAAGTGAAGTCTTTCCAATTGCAAGGTAAGTATATATTTTTTTTTCTTTTTTTTTTTTCTCTAGCTCTGTTCCTATGAAGGATAATAGTTAGGAATCTCCCAGTAATAGCCCTTTAAGCGTTTGAAAGCAGTGAAGTCATCAGCTCAACATTTTTATCTCTTAATAATGTAGATTGTCTCCTTATTTTTAAAAAGGGTCTTTAATTTATCCCTTTTATTAAATTACTAAGGATTACTCCCAATTTTTAGAGTTTCCGTTTACTATTTCTAACGTACAAATAAATTATCCTATGACTCCCTCCTTTCTCTTAAAAAGCAGCAGTTAACTGCATAGGAATTTAGTTTGGAAAACATAAATATTTTCAGAAAGTAAAATATTCAATATTCCAATATGAGGAATAATTTTGGAAATTGGAAATTTCCCCCAAACATTTGATCTAAATTAATTTTGTCTGTTATGTATTACAGACAAAATAAGTTGAACAGAGTTCTGTGGAATATAAGTGAAGTGTGTATTGGGAAATAATGTGCATGTGTACGTTTCTCTAGGGGGAGTGGATTTAAAGAGGTTGGGGAGAAAGGTTGGAACTTATATTCTGGAGGGCTTTGAACACATTTTTTTTTTTAACATCTTTATTGGAGTATAATTGCTTTACAATGGGGTGTTAGTTTCTGCTTTATAACAAAGTGAATCAGCTATACATGTACATATCTCCCCATATCTCCTCCCTCTTGCGTCTCCCTCCCACCCTCCCTATCCCACCCTTCTAGGTGGTCACAAAGCACCGAGCTGATCTCCCTGTGCTATGTGGCTGCTTTCCACTAGCTATCTATTTTACATTTGGTAGTGCGTATATGTCCATGCCACTCTCTCACTTTGCCCCAGCTTACCCTTCTCCCTCCCTGTGTCCTCAAGTCCATTCTCTACATCTGCATCTTTATTCCTATCCTGCCCCTAGGTTCTTCAGAACCATTTTTTTGTTTTTTAGATTCCATATATATGTGTTAGCATATGGTATTTGTTTTGCTCTTTCTGACTTACTTCACTCTGTATGACAGACTCTAGGTCCATCCACCTCACTACAAATAACTCAGTTTCGTTTCTTTTTATGGCTGAGTAATATTCCATTGTATATA